CCAAGCGTAGCTTAAATGTGGCACAATGCCGAAAGTATGGGTCACCCAGTGAGGATCGAACTCACTACTCAGTTGTAATTGTTCTAGCAAAACAACCTTGCTAACCATTACACGGCTTCGAGGTGCCCCAAGGAGTCATCATTTATATCCGGACTGTTGGCCTCATATTTGTTATCACGATGTTTCGGTCGTTCTTCATACTGGCCTTCATCAGGTGTATGTCGATTTCGGTATCATGCAGGGTACTCTGAACAGAAACCTTTATTTAATCTACGGGACTAGATTGTTCTCGCTAATTTTAGTTCTGTTCAGTTATTGTTAGCCCTGTTTCCACTGATTCCAAGTACTCACTACCCGGACCAGGGATTGAACTCAATAAATGGACCAACGCGTTAATACACCAGGACAAGAGCTCAGAGAACAACCGCTTAGTGGATTCGTGTATTTTGCTGACATTGTATACTAGGAATCATTTGGAACAGGGAGAAGAATGACTATTAAAAATAACGAGAAAAATCTCTTTATTAAATAAAGTGTTCAGCTGGGAATTCAGTGTTCCTTTATCGACATACATCTCATGAAGCCCGGATGGGAAGATGTGGAGAGACATGATTTCCTATTTCATGGAGATCACTGCATATAGAAGTATATTCAGAATGTCGTATCTAGTTCTTCTGAAGTTTTTCGATTAGCGATGGCCGGGATCGCCGATAATTGTCCTTCTTAAAATATCGATCATCAACTATATTTACTTGGCCTTGAAAAATATTGTGTCATCCGTGATTGCATCAGATTTTCAACACGCCCAGGCACTATTGTCTCGACTGTCGATTAGTTGTCCTACGGTTATTGTCTGTGATGGACGTTACTCCAAGGAAGTGTACGAAAATTGTAACGCTGCACGGACACAATAGGAAGCCTTACCAGTAAGTAAAACACAATAGGAAGCCTTACCAGTAAGTAAAACACAATAGGAAGCCTTACCAGTAAGTAAAACACAATAGGAAGCCTTACCAGTAAGTAAATCAAAATACTAACGACTGGCTCGGAAACTCTCCTGATTTAAATCCAATCGATAATCTGTGGCCAGTCTGCAAAGATAGACTTTTTGGAATGGACATACGAAGTACTAACGTGTGCACTGGGTCATGTTTCATTGGAAAAATACGAGAAAAAAGTAAATAATAACGGAATTATTCATTTGGTTTTAATTAATTTGCACAAAGATGTTTATATAATAATATAAAGAGTATAATAAAGAACAAATAGGAGATTTTTATCAATCAAACATGTTTCACTTTTATTAAAGCTTCGTCATTGATAAAGATATGGCGGGAAAAAGGTCTCATTCTCTGATGAAGCTTTAATAAAAATTGAAACATATCTGTTCTTTATCCTTTCATTCGATTCATATTTGATATGTATTTGATCCCAACATATATATATATATATATATATATATATATATATATATATATACAAATAAATATATGCAGTTGAATGTACGGTATTATATTATTTGTTTTTGAAAGTATGATGATTTCGGATCGAAATTTCGGTTCTAAGAAAATATATTATCACCATGACATGTTAAAGTCTTCTTTTGCATAATAATAATAATTAACACACACGCACACACATACACACACACACACACATACACACACATACATATATATATATATATATATATATATATATATATATATATGTGAAGCTAACAAATCCGTCGGTATATAATACAAATGGATCCTAGTAATATAAAATATTAAAACTGATCCACAAAAGGAGCTAAATGTATTTATTATTACTGACCAAATATTTAATAAACCATAAAATCCAAAATCACCTCATATGGGGAATAGTCTATTTCGGCAGACAAAGATATCGGTCGTCTGTCAATCAACTCCGATGTTGATTAGGCAGCCAACCCATATCCTCGTCTGCCGAAATGGGCTATTCTCCATATGAGGTGATTTTGGATGCTATTCTTTATATATACACACATACTCTCTCTTTTGAGGAACGTGGACCCACCTTTGTATTGCTATTGTTCCGAAGTCCTCCTTTTAGGGTCCCAGCTATGGACAAGTAGGGAACCTCCATCAAATAAAGCACCATGAATGTATAAAAACACATTTTATAGTAAAAATAACAGGAATATACTACATAAAAGAAAAGAAAATTACCAACAATACATATCTATAATAGAATTACTAACATGACAGAACTTTTTCTATGACATTAATCCATTTAATATCCTACAATTTCTTAAAGAAATCAAACTGCATTCCAAAATATAACTTCAACAAAATTACAACATAAAACACATATCACCGCCACTAGTAATCATGTCTATGCCCAGAAGCTGAGCATCATCTACCATGTATTCAATTGTGAAAGCAGAATAACATATGTCATGTTTTTATTACTTCAAAGCTCCCAAGAAAATTAAATTTCGTAATTAAATGGCCCATAAAGCGGTTGATATGCCGTTAAACAAAACACATCAATCGATACATGTTGATATAATCTCTCGAAGACAGACGGCAACCCCCTTGATTATTGTGTGAGGCGCAGTTGATCGAGGAACCTACAAAATTCTTTGTAACACCAAAGATTAACTGAAGGCAAGGATTATGATAACATTCACCAACTTAAACAAGGAGACCGTCCAGAAGAGTTGCTGAAATTTCCGTAGTCGTCTGTAGGCTGGGGTTGAAGCCAATGGCGACTTTATTGAATAGATCTACTCCATAATATTTCAAGCTATTTTTGTGTAACTTTGGTAAATATATCTGTTAAAATGAGATATCAATGTTATTTTAATTTATCCATCGCACCCAGACTATATATATATATATATATATATATATATATATATATATATATATATATATATATATATATATATATATATATATATATATCATTTTTGTTTTTTTGTTGTAGGCTATATATTCTGTTCACCTTTATCTCTTTGGCCAGTTGATCCTGACGATCCGTATAGGTAGGTTTACCCGGCTCTTTAGGTTCATATATATATATATATATATATATATATATATATATATATATATATATATATATATATATATATATGTGTGTGTGTGTGTATATATATATATATACGTGCGCACACGTGTGTATGTGTGTATCCAGGAAAACTTATAAAGATATATATATATGTGTGTGTGTTCGTAATATATATATATATATATATATATATATATATATATATATATATATATATATATATATATATATATATATACAGAGGTTAGACAAAAGAATGTGAATACTTGGCTTAAACATTTATTTACTGACTAATAAGGGAATTTTATCGCATTCTTCAATCAAAATCTTGGGAAGTTGCTTCCGCAGCGATGGCTGGGGGTCTGTTCCTCACTCTCTGCTTTAGAACTTCCCATAATGGTTCAATTGTGTTGAGATCAGGTGATTGTGTTGCCCTTGGAAGATGTTTAATCACGTTATGATGCTCATCAAAACAAGACTTCACTTTTTTTGCAGTGTGTGTACGGAGGCATTATCATCTTGGAATAAGGCCTTTTCTGGCAACGGTATGGTAGCCATTGTAAGGACACTGTCATTAATAATGTCGAGATATTTATCTGCAGTAATTCTACCATTAAGTGTAATGATAGGAGCAGAAGAATACCAGGAAATTGCCGCCCAAATCATTACTGAGCCACCTCCATGTTTGACTGTCCGGTCTGTGCAATCAGGATCAGAGGCTTGACGTAGCTGTGTTCTCCAGACATAAACACGTCCGGTTGTAGGAAATCACGTGAAAGAAGACTCATCAGACCAAATAACGTTTTTTCCATTCCAATTTTTGTGATCATCACACCATTTTTTTTAATAACTTCGGATTTGTGATCATAGGATTAGGAATCGTTGCCCTTCCGTGTATACCAGATTTGTGGAGCTCCCGACGTGCTGTGCGTGTAAAAACTGTATTAGTTAGGTTAGTAATGAGATCTGATGTTTTATTAGCTGCACTAGTTTTATGATTTTTTGTCATAATTCGTTTTAAAGCTGGTCGGTCTCTTTCAGTCAACTTCGGTCTCCGTCCACAATTCCTCTTTGCTGATGATGTTTTGCCTTGTTTTGTGTAAAGCTGTTATGACCATGGACACTACAACCCGTGACTCGTTCGATAATTCAAACGTTTTGGTCACAGATGCTCCTACTAATCTAGCACCAACTACTTGTTGTCTTTGAAAATCCGACTAATCGCGTATTTTAGTATGTAACTCTTTTACCTGAAGATAAACAATGTCTTACTTAATTAAGTAGAAAAGCAATGTAGAGGGTTAAAGTATTGAGCAGTTAATTTTTATGCCGATTTGATTTTTACAAATACCCGGAAATACCGGAATTGAAAAGAATTTACAAACTGGTCACATTATTTTGTATATACCTGAGATGGTGTTGAAAATTGTTCGGTCCGACCAAAATAAAGATTTTACGATAGAAATGCATTGAAAATAAAGAAGAAATCTATTTTTAGTTAGAATTTTTTTGTTGACGTTTTGGGTAGGACTTTTTTAAGAAGGAATAATTTAAGGCAATACTCATGATTTCACTATCGAAATGCACCGAAAATTTTGATAAAGGCGATTGCCAGTTGTCAGAAATTAATTTGACTGTTACTGATAGGATTGTGCTATTATATATGAAACTGATAGTGTAATTAAAACTATGAGAACATAAAAAGAAGTAGAGAAAGGAAGGAAGAAATTGATTAATTAGGCTAATTTCAACATTATTCATTCCATTGATGCTGCTGCTGCTGATGATGATGTTTCAGTTAGTGCTGCTGCTGATGCTGCTGCTGCTGCTTATAGCAGGCAGTTTTTACCTGTTTTGAAAGAGGCTTGAGGAAACCAGGAAGGGCGGGGGGGGGCGATTCGTTTTCGATGGAACACTATTGCTTTTCCTGATCGACAGGTCGTGTGACAAAGACGAAAAATTAATTAATTCTTGCCAGTTTTCGACTTTAATCCGCTCGTTTTTGGCTTCGTTAAATACACAAGTTCCATAGTAAAACAAGCAAGGAAGAAAAAAAAGGAAGGGAGTAACGAAAGAAAGAAAGAAAGAAAGAAAGAAAGAAAGAAAGAAAGAAAGAAAGAAAGAAAGAAAGGAAAAGAAGGAAGGAACGAAGGAACGAAGGAAAGAAATAAAGATGAAATAATGCGGAAAATAAAGGAAGGGTGGAAGGAAACTAAAAGGAAGGAAGGGAGGAAGGAAGGAATGAATGAAGGAAGGAAGGAAGGAAGGAAGGAAGGAAGGAAGGAATGAATGAAGGAAGGAAGGAAGGAAGGAAGGAAGGAAGGAAGGAAGGAAGGAAGTTGGAAGGAAGGGAGGAAGGAAGGAAGGAAGGAAGGAAAGAAGAAAGGAAAGAAGGAAGGAAGGAAAGGAAGGAAAGAAAGGAAAGAAGGAAGGAAGGAAAAAGAAAGAAAGGGAGGAATAAGGAAAAGAAAGAAAGAAAGAAAGAAAGAATGAGAGGACGAAAGAAAGAAAGAAAGAAAAAAAGAAAGAATTGGTGGAATAACAAAAGAAAGATTGAAAAAAATATTGAAAAAAGTCATCTTAAATAGCATTTATGAACATATCAAAACAAAGAACTTGAAATATATAGCCGAAGGCCACATGCAACAATAGGGGTAACGGGCCACGTGCCGGGATGAGGTCGGATAACAATCAGTTGTCCTGACGGTACAGGAAGCCAACGCCGGAAATGTTCAGAGAAAAAAAAAAAATGAAGGAATAACCATTCATGCACACATACAAACATAGATACATACATACATACATACATACATATATATATATATATATATATATATATATATATATATATATATATATATATATATGATGACAATTGGAAAAAAAATTGTCTACACAATTGATCTGGGAATTTAACTATATTGTCGACATGGGAACAAAAAACATCCTTTACTATAAAGGTAATTTACATTAACCAGAAAAAAAAGGCTTAGGCAGAAGCGTCTATCTTTTTAAATTTGGATTTTTCAATGTAACTATAACAGCAAAAACATTTCGATTTCATTTTTGCCTTGAAAATGTTGGAAGACGAAACGCGTCGGCAAAATCTAAGATTTTTTTTCAATTGTCATTTTATACCAATCTGTCTTGTCCACAGAATTGATCTAGGAATTTTACTATATATATATATATATATATATATATATATATATATATATATGTGTGTGTGTGTGTGTGTGTGTGTGTGTGTACGTATGTGTGTGTGTGTGTGTGATTTATATAAGATGATCTGAATGGATTTGTATTGTAAACTGGACCCCTATTTACATTTTTCTTCTTTTTTTAATATTTGTGATATCGGGTGCTTAAAATATAGTAATATGAAAGAAATTTCTGTAAAAAAAAACATTACTGATGACAGTGCTTATTGTAGAAGTCCACCACACACACATACGCGCACAGTGCTAGCTAGCTAGATAGATGGATGGATGGATGGATGGATGGATGGATGGTAAAGGTAATGGTAATATTAGCTGTTTCTCTACAAGGAAAAAACAATTTTCCATTAAAATAAGTTACTTAAGTCCAGTAGCTGTTATCACTCTTTCTAGTATTGATTGGAGTTTCCTTCCTAACCTTTTGTTTCATGCTGTGTTGACGGTCGACATCTTGATTATGTCTTAATTTCTCTTCGTGATTCATGCACTATCCATTTTTGCTGTTGTAATTGTTAATAGTCTTCAAGTGATATAGTTTCCATTACCTGATACAGTTCTTTATTTGTGATTGTGTAGCGCCAGTCAACAATGTTAGAAGAAGGATGGTCTTTGCTAAGCGGTGTTGGGCGAAACTACCTCTAGCGCAGCTTATTCTATGTCCAGTAAAAATAGACTTCTCAAGCCCAGTAGGTGTTATTGCTCTTTCTAGTATTGACGGGCGTTTCCTTCCTAACCTTTTGTTTCAAGTAGTGTGGAATGTTAGCATCTTCGAATTACATATTCTATCCATTTTACTTATCGATGTTGTTGATAGTCATCAAGTATGTCGTTTCTGTTATTTGGTACCGTTCTTTGTGTGTGATTCTGTAGCGCCAGTCCGCAAGATTCGAAGAAGGATTGTCTTCTCCAAGACACACAGGCTTCACTCGCTCAAAGACATTTTACAAGTAACGATATGAGACTGACAATTTAGATATTTCTGAATGGTATCTGTCTATATTTCAGAGATGAGCTATTATGTACACTATTTACATTATTCGGACTCATCTTTGTCGCCATATTTATTACGTTTCCGCTGTTGTACGCTCCGGCCTTCTTCAAGTGGTTGGAATGTCGAACAGAACCCTTTATTGCGCTCACTGTGGTAGACTGTTCTAGTTCCATGCGCCATGTTTAATGGATGTCAGTTATCAGTTATCTCCTGTTAATTTCCCTCTGAAAGTTCTTCACTGCCTTAGTCGGGTATTGAACTCACACTCTTTTGGGTCATGTCACTGGATCTCACCAACGCCTTTATCCAACGCATGTGTCAAGGACACAAGGCACAGTGGAAGAAGAAGACCGGTGCGTACAACGGCCGAAACGTTGTAATAAATATGGCGACAAAGATGAGGACAATAGTCCGAATAATGTAAATATTGTTATTCCTTGTATTTAAAATAAATAAACTCCTAAGACACCTGTCTGGGCTAAAAATGCACATTAAAAAAAATTGTAGGTAATGGGTTAATCGCGTTTTCTCTGGTTGGGTTTGGTTTCCTACAGTTTTCGTCGATCATTTATCCACTGTGCCATGTGTCCTTGAGGACATCTGTGTATGAACGGGATTGGCGCTATGCATGATATCCATAAGAAAATCTGAGGCTATTTAAGGACATGTCCCAATTTTTCAGGTTGATGTTTTGGTTTAGTAGCAATTGGTGGTGTTGGGCGAAACTACCCGAAGCGCAGCTTATTCTATGTTCAATTTCAGTTTCTCCTGTACTTAATTTGTTAGAACTGATCCATAAACCGATTTATTTGAACTGCCTGTTATTTATCAATTTCACATCCTGGGTCTGTGATAACATTGACTTCATTCCAATTCAAGATCATAGTTTATGTTTTGGAAGATTCTGAGTCCTATATCTTGGAATATTTGATAGAACTTACTGATTTCCTGTTTAAGATCATTCTTTTCCCAACTATGTCATCAGCATAGACACCTCATCATCAATACATTGGTCTCGGCAGGTAAAAATGGATCGTTATCTTCTGTTGGTAGATTCGTTTAGGATGTGGTATGAAATGCTTAAATGATCAGCGCAAATTACCTTTGCCGCTGTCTATTCTATGTTTAATTCAATATAAGGAAGAAAAACTATATACTGTGGATCTATTTGTATGATCGGAACATCACACTGGAAATGGCGAAATAGTTGAAAAGAGATCAGTGAAATCCTACTGGGATGATGCATTGGCGGCCACAATCTTAACAACATAAGATAACGCAGATGACACAGTGATGATAGCAGACACGAAAAAGAAATTACAAAATCTTCTGCAGAAGGTAGCGACAGAGAGTGAGAAGAAAGGATTAAGCATAAACTACAAAAAGACAAAATGCATGGTCATCAGTAAAAGGATGAGCCCCAAATACGGTTTGCAGGTCGGGAACACTAGAATCAAGCAGACTTGGCAGTTTAAATACCTGGGAAGCGTCTTGACAGAGGACAATAAGTGCGACACTGAGATCCGTAGACCTATTGGGATGGCCAAGGACGCATCCCAAAAGGTGGGCAGAGTATTGCGAGACAAGAGGATGACTTTAGTAATAAAGAAAAGAATACTGAACTGTTACGTAACATCTGTCCTTCTTTACGGTGAAAGATGAAGAAGAGACTCGAGGCGACAGAGAAGTGGTTCTATAGAAGGATGCTAAGGATATAATGGGCCGAGCGTGTGAACAACGATGAGGTCTTAGAGAGGATGCAAACAAGGAGAAGGCTTATACTTAACATCAGGACGATAAATGCGACACTGAGAACCATAGACGTATTGGGATGGCCAAGGACGCATACCAAAAGCTGGGCAAAATATTGCGAGACAGGAAGTTTACTTTGGTAACAAAGAAAAGAATACTGAACTGTTACCTGACATATGTTCTTCTTTACGGCAAAGAATGTTGGACGATTTCCTCAAAGAGACTCGAAGCGACGGAGATGCGGTCCTCCAGAAGGGTGCTAAGGATATCATGGATCGAGCGTGTGAGCAACGATGTAGTCTTGGAGAAAATGTAAACAAGGAGGTCTTATAATTAACATCAGGCAGAGGCAGCCGAAGTTTCTGGGATACATAATGAGGAAGGAGGGCCTGGAGAATCTGATACTCACGGGTCGAATAGAGTGAAAGGGAAAACATCACGTGACATACCTGGCGGTCTTAAGCGAGTGGATGACAGGATGTAGTCTGGAGGAGGTGGCAGAGGGAAGGAACTTATTTAGAGCTACAAGGGATAGGGAGGAGGTGGAGAGACATGATCGCCTACGTCCTGAAATTAAATAAACAGCTACAAAATTTATGATGAATTATATTTGTTTTTTAATTAGAAGTACAGCGGAACCTCGTTTCACGAATTTAATTTGTTCTTGAAGCCCGTTCGTAACCCGAAATGCTCGTAAACTGAAACTATTTTTCCAATAGGAATCAATGTAAAATTGATTAATCCGTTCCTGATCCCAAGTTGATTGCTTATTTAAACTTTAACAACAGTATTTTGTGCACAAGTTTATACACAAAACTAATGAAAATCCATTACATATGAATCCTCTTCTTCTCCCCCCAAATATGGGTATATAGCAGGACAGACCGGGTTCTCTAGCCTTGGATGGTAACTGGTCTACCGCAGAAAGAAATGGCAACCTACTGCGAGAAAAAAATCAACCTATCTTGTCAGTTATGTATCGAAAGATACATGATCGCCTAAGCGTGTATCACGTATGGCACATAACTGACTGAAATTCACTTACGTGCTGATACCCTTGGGAAAGATATGAATCCTCTTCTTCTCCCCCCAGCTATGGGTAAATAGCAGGACAGACTGGGTTCTATAGACTTGGATGGCAACTGTGGAGAACTTTCAGAGGGGAATTTACAGGAGGTAACTGGCATCCATTAGACATGGCATGTGGAACTAGAACAGTCTACTCCAGTGTGCGAAATAAAGGGTTCAGTTCGACATTCCAACCACCTGAAGAAGGCCGGAGCATATAACGGCCGAAACGTTGTGATAAACATGACGACAATGATGAGGACAATGGTCTGAATAATGTAAATAGTGTACATAATACCTCATCTCAGAAATATAGACAGACACTGAAGAAGGCTGGGGCGTACAACGGCCGAAACGTTGTGATAAATGGCAACAAAGATGAGGACAATAGTCCGAATAATATAAATAGTGTTTAACTAAAAAGTTTGGAAGGAAATTTCCATCCTTGCTAGAAAGAACGATGACAGTGAATCATTTTGCTGAAAAACAGTTTCATGGGATAGATTTTAGATTTCAACCGACAGCGATGCTTTTTGGTCAATAAATGTTG